ATGTTGCCTTTGAAATATGCTTGTTGGTTTTTCTTTTTTTGTGTTTTATTGCAAAAAGGATGTAGTCCAAAATCCTCTGTATTGTTCACTTAGTAACATTCAGTGACTTAATTAGGGCTCATATCTTGAAAGTGTTTGCTTTTATTTCTTGTTGGATAGGTTTTACACAATATTTCTTGTTGTATAAAATTTAAGCCACTGTATCTCCTAGAAAGGTAGTCTTCAACACCCTCGATCAGTCAATTACAAAACAAGTTGAAAGGATTGAAAATAAGCTTTTGAATCGAGAAAAATTACAGAACATACATACGATGTGACAGACAATGTCAAAGCAAGCGAGCACATAGAGATGGCTAAGAAAAAAGAGGTAAATGTGTAATTATTTCTGTCACTGCTGTGGTTAGGGTTTGGGATTTTATAAATCTGAATGAAAGACTGATTTGTGTTGTTTGTGCTTAAACAATATAGCATGAATGATATTAATAAGTAATGTACAAATTTACCTTGTACATGCAGTCGGACCGACACACCAGAAGAGGGCTGCATTAGCCTGAGAATAGTTCAGAATTGTGTGTGCTGCTTTCATCCCTGAGATGATATATTTGCAGTTAAGTATACTCAAGGATACAACATTAAGGGGGTCAAACACTGCATTCGTGACTACCCCACCCACAATCATACAGATTAAGTCAGGGGACAGCTGAGGAGGCTCCGCGCTCCAAGAAAGCTCAAGGCCTGTGCTGTCAAATTGGGGGAGCCTTCAACATGTCTTTAACTTTTTGGGGAGGGGGTTTTCAGTTTTTGGACCATATGATTTAGCATTAATTCCAAATTTGCCAGAGAACAATTTTTAATGGAAAAATCAAGACTCAATAAAAACATCTGGAGAAAAATCACACAGCAGTGAGGCTGTGTTGCATGTATGAGGTAAAGGGTGTGATGTCACAAGATGTAACAACTGGATTACACCCGAATTACTGGATCTGCTACAGTGCAGACCAACCTTTCTATATCAATTTTGTCTTTGATACTGGCCATTAATAATGATTGATATTTATCCATTGTTGACAAGTTGTCAACGCATGATGGAAAAGGGGGAGTCAGAGTGAGAGACACCTTCATTCTAGTCATTAAATCTTGCTTAGTTGATGGTGTCATTTTCGTGTAATGTTACTAATGTGACTATCAACAGATATTGTCCCTGTCTGCTTTTGCCACAGTAGTGGGGTCTGCAGGCTGTCACCAAACAGCAACACCCTGTGAACAGATTTTGGGTAAAGGGGTGCGCTCGCTGGCTCACCGGGTTGTGCAGGACTTATCCAGTCTCTCTCCCCAATTAACACTGGAACTGTCCAGTCAATAAAATCAAAATGCCCTAAAATATCTTTTATTTGGTAATCACATTGGCGTTTGCTCAAAAAAAAAATTTTTGTATAAACAAAACTTTTAAAGACAAATGGTTGCAAATTCAGTCCAGAATGCCAGGAAACAACATTATTGTGAGGTGAAGAGTCATTTAACAGTAATTCACTGCTGATAATGAAATGTGCAATCATATGAGATGGGTCACTCATATCATAAAATGCAGCACGAGGATCAACCTCTGCTCAGCCCCTTTCTGAAACAAAAGGACAGATGTGCAGCCACTCTGCCTCGTCCATAAAGCTCTCTTGCATTACACATATGAATGGCTGGTCTGAAAAAACACTAGTTATTGAGTCAATGGGCCTTTTATTGTGCCCCCTTATTAAAACTCCCCCATGTTTAATTAGAAGACATCCGCCACACTTGAGATGCGCCTGTCACTGGCTGAGGCCCAAGGTATTCAAGCAAGCTGTGCTCCACTGCACAGTGGATGAAAAGAGAGGTGCACATGAAAGAGAGGATGAGTGCTGTTTCAGGGGTATGTAGAAAGTGTAGCTTCAGTCATGCAAATCTAATTTAAAGTGTGTGGATGGTAAGTATATGCTACGCCATCTATGCTTGCTTCATCATATGATTTTTATGTAAAACTGTTCAAAGTTAATCTGATGTTTTCAGTCAGTGTTATGGAGCATCCTTATTTCTTTCTCAAATTCATGAAAAATAAACAATACAAACAAACAACACATAAAATGAAATTAGCTTTTTTTTGCAGGTCATTTCTTTGAAGCATAAACTCTTAAGTGAGCTTCTTACTACCTGAGTTAAAGTCTGTAGCCGCACGTCTCCTGGTTCTGGTTCTACCTTTTGACACCTGTGTTTAAATTGTATGTGGTTTTTTAGCATTATATAGATTTTCCAGCAATGTTTACTGCTGTTAAAGATTTCCTTATCAAATATCATGAGAGTATATCCAATAGTTGTTGACACATTTTACTAAAGAGCCAAAAGAGTCACATCTATTGAAAAAAACAGCATACAAGGTTTGGACTTTGTTGGAAAAAATAATTGTATCACAGTCCTAAACACAGAGTTAGATACTTACATTGGTTTGGTTTTGGCATTGATTTCTACAAACATCCTTTTAATGTAAAAAAGATAAATCACTTATAATTTACTTTTCAAAGTCATTTTAACATAAATGCCACTCAAATAGCCATGTCACCAAAATATGAAATAAGATACTAATAAATAATTTAAGATGAGTTTGCAGAGGAGTTGACAGCAGACTGTATTTTTTTTGCTGCACACGTTCATTACAGCGCACTTCCCACCTCTCTCATCCCCCTCGTCTCTGAGGAAAAGCAATGTCGACAGATCTGCAGTGTGATGCAGACATGAGGACGGATGAACATCTCTCTTCCATACAGGTGAGTGTCATTGTTTATACAGGTTTTTGTTGGTTTTTGATTTTAAACTGAATTCAGAAGGTCTTGTTTGAATAATTACATTTATATGCTTGCCAGAGTCACTGTATCTGACCTGCTGCTTGTAATTTAAATTGGATGTTTTAAGTGGGACATCATAACTGTGGCTTTTTCAGAATTCCATTTATAACAGCAAAATAAAACTAAAAGAAAAACTCAAAACAAACTTTACTTTTTAATGTGTGCATCACCATCATACTAACAGAATTGTTTTCTGCAGTTTTGCTGCATTGCAATTGATGTAAATACAAAGAGTGCCTTTCATGAAACTTGCACCTGATTTTAACTTTGGCCAACATACATTACCGTATGTACTGTTTACTATTACCAGACATTAAACAATCACAATTACAATCAGCATAATTTTACTTTTGATGTCTTTGTAGCTGTTTTTGCTGATATTGAACTTAATTTGATTTACTGTGCGTGTGTGTTGCAGAAAATATACATTTGAATACAAATTTTTAAATTGAATGGATATCATGCGATCGACCTGTTGTGTGTTTAAATGACGGCTTTCACGGTGACTTCGCTGGAATGGATAGCTGCACATCATCATGTCAGTTCAACAAAGTCTTCAAGCCAAAAAAAACCCTACAATTTCACTCAGCTTCACTTCACTATCACTGCACAGTCCCTGTGGTGTTCATTAAAATCTGCCAGAGTCAGGCGGAACATCTGATCCTTGTTCAAACCACCGCCACTTGCTGTTTGTATGTGTTGTGCTGTGTGACATATGTAAGGACTCAAATTTAACAAATACATAATAGTTCGGTGAGGGTAACACAATTGTGAAATCAATTCATTTCCTGTTATTGTAATAATTGTGACAACCCTTCCTGAAAAACCACATGAACGTGCTTCCACATGCTGCCACATATGGAGCACATGTGGAAATGATGGTAGTACATGTGGTACCATGTAGTGCAAATGTAATCACGTACGTATTTGCAGGTGTTTCACACATTTATCATGGGAAACATGTGCTGAAAAGGTAAACACATGTGGTCATATGTGACATGTGAAACTCCAGTGGTTTTTCTGTAAGGGAAGTTCGACTCCAAAAGACCTGAGGAGAGCTAATGATCATTACTGATGATTCTTTGCCTCCTTATCTGACATTTTTATTGGTTTAGAAAACAAGCAAACCAGTCCTTTTAACAACAAGATTGTACTGATGACAATCCCACTGGTTTTGCTCACTGTACAAGGTGAACAGATGGCTCACATCCTGGGGATTCATGCATCAACTAAAGTTTACAGCTTAGAAATGAACTAATGACAAGTTACCATGGTGCAGCAATCATGTCTGAAAAAAGCAAACTGCTTCACTGCCTCACTTGCTACAATGTCAAAACAAATCACTTTAAACTGCATCTGTTTGTTTTAACAGGTTTGATTGGACCATGGATAACAACAGCCTGGGATTTCTCAGAGAAGCTAACACATCTCTCCAGATTGAACTTCAGTCCTGTGCTACATTTCGAAACCAGGTCTCGCGCATTTTCGTGTATGCCTTCCTCTCTGTTGGCATCGCCTGCACAGTGGTGGGAAATTTCCTGGTGGTCTTGTCCATCGCCTACTTCAAGCAGTTGCAGTCACCCACAAATTCTTTTGTCATGTCTTTGGCAGTGGCTGACTGTCTTGTTGGCCTGGTTGTGATGCCTTACAGTATGATTCGGACGGTTGAGGGATGCTGGTACTTTGGTGCCCTTTTTTGTCAGCTTCACTCCAGCTTAGATGTTATGCTTTGCACTGCCTCCATATTCCATCTCAGCTGCATTGCCTTTGACCGCTACTACGCTGTGTGCAACCCGCTTATCTACTCTTTAAAGATGTCCCACAATCGAGTAGCTTTCCTCATTGTTGTATGTTGGGCAGTTCCCATGCTCATTTCCTTTTGTCCCATAATGCTAGATCTTCATATTGCTGGTGTGGACATCTTGCTCCCTAAAGATGTCTGCG